TTTTCTTTTTTTCTCACCAACTGCATAATATATATTATTATTCTTTAATATTAAAATTGCTTATCATCTAATGATTCTTGTTTATGCAAGGTATTACATTTGTTTTTGTCTTTCAATTTTTTGTGGATATAAATCGTTCTTCTGACAAGTTTTATTGTTAGCAAAATCATATATTAAACCCCTGAACTAACTTTAGATTTGCTATTAAACTTCTCAGACTTTAATTTATATATATAGGTCCTTAAACTCTATGATCTGAGCAATTTAGCCCTTAGTTCTTTTACTTAATTCTATAACTACCCTAAAAGTAGGTTAAATTGCTTAAATCGCGGAGTTGAGGGGGTTTATTGCATCAATTAAAGTTTGACGGCTCAATAGCGAATTTAGGGTTAGTTTAGGGGCTTAACATATGGTTTTCCCTTCTTTTTTCTTTCCATTTTCTAGTGAAGTATTAAATGTATTAAATAATGGAAATTATTTTAAGAATGGTGAATATAAGGATGATTAGTAATTAAAATATTCGATTGATAAAGAAAATTAAATATTCACAAATAGATCTGATTTTTAAAAGAAAAAATATTTAGGTATAAAAAATTTTATTAAAGTTATTTAAACAATTTTATAAATAAATTTAATTTTTATATTTTTTATTTAATATAAAAATATTATATGTTTATCGAAAGAAAATAAATTTTTAATTCAAGGCAGTAACAATTAACAAGAATTACTGATTCGTGCTGAAAAGAGGAATAAAAATGTTAATTTCGCGATAAAAATAAGAATAAAAATGTTAACAAATCGTAAAAAAAGAGTTAAATAATGGTAGAATTTAACAACATATTGATGAAAAAGGAAAATAATTCATATATCTTGTACGGAAATTATAATTAAGAATTAGGGTTTAGTCTAAGTAGTGATACAGGGGATTGAGGTTTAATATACACGAGTAGAAGTTGGGGCGAAATTTAGGGATGTAAGTAATTATTAAATATATAGGGTTTATTTTTTAATAATTAAATATATAAAGTTTATTTTTTAAATAAGATATTTTTTAATCTCTGCTTTTAGAGAGAGATTAAGTTTTATTAATTATTGTATATATAATTAATTTTATATAAATTTTTATATAAAACGTAAAAAATATAATATAATATTTTTATTTAAACTTTAAAAAAATATATGAAT